CCACCTCCATCAAATCCAAGTGCGCCAAACAATAAATGCTTTTTTCAATATGAGCAAGATCAATTAGAAATTGCATGCACATTTCTACAAAGTTTTTCTAATTGTCCAGCAAACGCAATTAATCTATCAAGCTGCACGCAAACAAAACTGTTTGAGCACCAATGTGCCGGTAATATGCATGTCGCAGTTATATGTTCATAAAAAAACTGAACTCTCGATATAAAACAAGAAGACACTAGTAGAATGGTTTTTTTCAACCTGTTGATTATTTGTGCTAGTTTTTCTTGTTATAAACCACTATTTTCAGAAAATAAACCAGAAATTTACAACTAAAATGATTAAGCACTTTAAACTACTGTGGACGCAGCAGCAAGAATGGAGTTACTCCTCTTACCAAGGCAAAACTTTAGAAAGATGATCTTACTCAAATTAAATTTCTCCGTTTTTTGCATCTTTAAGAAAAATTTAAAAAGAAAGGAAACATTTAAAAAATGACGTAGTAACACTTTCTTTTCCATCGTCACCAAGGATCTCTTTCACATCTGTATTTCATTGAGTTTCAGAGAATCGTTCATATTATACACGTAGTCTAGAAAAAGGTTTGTGCTCTTCTCGAGAAATTTAGAAAACCTTACCACAAACCATTTTTACGTTCACATCATTCATACCATAATCTGTTCTGTTTTTGACTCATTTTTTCTACTAAATCATTTTTCAGTGGTGAAAACAAAGATTATAACTATTCTTTTTATTCCTTGTTCTAAGAGAAAATAACCTATAAAGGTTTTTCAAAGGACATCATACAATTTAGAAGAAGAAAAACGGTATTGAACGTACAAACATCGAGGAGATGTAATTCAAAGAGAACATGAGAAAATATGACTTGCCAAGAGTATCGAACTATTTGCTTTCAAAATTTTCTGACTTACTATCATAATACGATTCAAGAATTTTGGCTATCGTGGAAATGTACCATATTTTACAACAAAGTTTATCATCAACTCGTAGTCTCATCTCGTCTGAAATAGAGTGAAACTCTGGGTCAGAAAAAATATTTATGTATCTATTATATCTATACCGACAGGCCCAGTGAACCGTCGAAACATTTCCATTTTTTGCGTTGCAACGAGAAAGTGCAGGCACTTTATACAACCAAGCTGAACGCTAACGATTTGGGACTTTTATCTAAGATACTTCGATTCATTCTGAGCTAATGGGATCTCTATTCTTTCCAGATGACTGTGTCGTCAGTTTCAAAACTGGTAACAATGCCAAAAAATTGCTATTTTCAAACGCGTTTTCTACTAAAAAAGAAAAACTCATATTACAAAAGTAAGCAATATAGTAGTTTCACGTTTGTTCAGACTATGTAGAACAATATTGTTCAGGTTTTAAAAATTCTTATGAAAGCTAGGCGACAAGCGCAATCTTAGAGAGCTGCTAAAGGGCTTTCATATTTTTCTCTTTCTTTAAAATGTAATATCTACAAGTACTTCGAATTCGCATGAGTGACATCTGTGACATATTAACTCTTCGTCCTCGATTGCATACAATTATGCCAAAGAAAAACTTTGTTACCAGTAGTCGTCCGAATTTATGAGTTTAACAAACCTCGATCTTTCAGAAAATCTGGTATCTTTAAATTGAGCCTAAAATTTTTCTGGAATTCATGCAAAGAAAACTCTTTCAGCTCTGAGCTAAGGGAAATGTTACCCAAAAGCAAGGGAGGAATCAGCGTACCTTTGAACTTGTAGTTACTTACAGACACTTCAAATTTATTTTGAGCTACTTCAATGGTACTTTGAGGGTAGGTGTGGGTGTTGATCTTCTCTTTAGTCACACTCACATTCGAACGCCACGGCTACACTCCTACACACCCATATCTCCACAAAAGTTTGGTTAGGTCTAGCGATTCTGAACTAAATCTGCGGACTCAGACACGGCTCTAGAGAACGTATTTATAACGAATATGGTTTATCGTGGTCTTCCTTCAAAATTTTTCTCCAGGTACAATTGCCCACAGATATCCTTGAAGGTTATAAGAGAACTGATAACAATTAAAGACTTTAGTTTTCTTGTAAGTTCTTCATCAATTTCAATCGCATCGTTCTCATGTGACTTTTGATAACCATTACAACAACGACGATGATGATAAACGCTATATTCATGATAAAGAAAATAGTGAAGACGTCAATAATCAAGATTTATCTTTTTTTTATCGACACTATATCAATAGTGAAGTTAAAAGGAACGTAAATTATCAACAAGTATCTCATAAAATAGTTTCAACACAACCTCGAATTGATGATACAAAATCAACAAAAACTGTGTGAAGACAACATGAATATTGGTAAATAATTACTATCAGTTCTCAAATTATTGAATCCTAGCTTTGATTACCTGATTAAGCAAGTGACTAGTTTCAGTTAACTTTATGATCCATTCAGAATAAAAGATTCAATCTGATTTTACATCATCGAAAGAAAATGAAGAAAACCATCGAGTACATAATGTAGACAACATACTTTGTATTTGATGAGTTACTTTTTTTCTGATTCTTATCTTTCGAGATAATAAAAATGGGAGTTCAACAATGAGCGACAGGTATTGTTTTTAAGTAGTTATCCTTGTTTGAGAGATAAAAACAATCTAATGAATATAGACTCTAAATGTCCTCGATAAACTTGTCGAAGATTAAACTTTTGGTGATCCATCTACACAAGATGGACATTTTTGAACCTTATTTCTTTTTGTATAAAAATTTGACGATAGTAGCTTCCACATGATAGATTTATGAATATTATCATAGATGAACAACTACAACAATCGAAAAACATCTTAGGACTAGATTATGCAAGAAACAAGTTCTGATACTCACAGATTTCATAGATTCGTTTGTATCATCACACGAAAAATGCTGAGCATTGTAGTGATACTCTATCACTTAGTTTTATAACCTTATTTGTCATTTTTGAACAAAAACAACGCTAGAAATTGATAATGCTTCTTCTGCTTTGCTCCAGTTCATTTTTTGGAACTTTTTCATGAGCTCTCATGAAGGTCTTTGCATCAAAACTATTTTTCATTGAAACAAACATAATGTGAACTAAAGTTTCATGTTAAATCCGACTTTGAGGTCGAAAATATTTTATTAGTCAAATTAGTTGTCTACATAAATGACCGAAATAGGAAAACTTTATGAGAATATGTTAGAAAATTTCTGAATAGGTTGACTTTTTAAAAGATATAGTACTGTTATTTTTCTGAAACTTTTGTCGATTCTACCACAATCTGAGCCACATATTTTTCATTAGAGAAAGTTCTTTATCAAGTGTCTATAAGGTTTTTAGAGCCAAGAAAGAAATATTAATCACACTATGTAATCTAGAAAATATCTAAAGACAGAAAAAAATTCATTCTTTTTTTTCACTCTTGCATATGTATGTACTCTAAATGTTCAATTTGCTGGTTTTATCCCAATTCTTCATTATTGATCAAAATTTGCAAAAGCACATGAACTATAATGAAACACTTATTTCAGGCAATGACGAGCCGACTGCTAATAATCTTTCTAGTTACGTTTGATTCACTGGACTAAAATCTAACATACCATGAAATCAAATGAATTGCATGATATAATTTAACCAATAGAAAGTATTTTTCGCTTTCACACAACTCATACAACTTTTTTGTTCTATTAAAAAAATTAAAAATCAATCAGATTTTTTAGAATTCAATTTTTTTTCAGAATGACTTAATTTCACTTATTTTTTTAATAGTGTTTTTTGCACAAAATCCTTGGTAAAATGATTTTTTCCTTATTTGAAGATTTGCTAGTTTCATTACAACTTTTATTTAAGAAACACTTGAAATTCATGTTGGATTATTTAATTCTGGATGATAATTTAAAAGATTATATTATTCTGATGAAACTCTCACAGTTTCTGATCAAAATCTGCTAAATGTCAATCGAACTGGTTTACAATCATATCTAGTAAACCATTACCTTAGAAAATTTTCCTCAATATTCTCATAACATTGTACCGTGATCAAAAAGTACTAAACGACTAATTCCACCAGAAATCATTTTCGAAATTTCTTCTCTCATAATTTCATATTTATAAGTAAAATTAAAACATGTATATAATTATTTATTTTGATAAAATGAGTTAAACATAACTTTTGTCTGCAAACAATTCTTTGAATAAACTCTGTAGTATACGTCCAAAATACTTCGTTGAAATTATCTGCTTTTTTACTATTGAAGCAACTTGAAAACTTTCCTTTGTGAGTTCAATATTTGATCAAAAAAATTCTAATCGGTTACTACGCATGTATTTTTCTTGCTGTTTGATCTCCAACATAAAACAAATCCACCAATAAAAACAAAAGAGTATAAAGACTACTCTTCCAACAGATCCTCTCCTTCATAAGAGTAACATTCATCAATGCTTTTATATATAGAGAAAAGCAAGTATGAATAGAAGCAGAGAAACAAAAATTGAAACACAACTACAGCATAGAAGCAGTGCTATATATATATGTAGTATGATCGTTGGCGATGAAATTTTATCTATTTAGATTTTTTTCTGTTGAGCTATTGGCAAAATAAGTCTTAGAAAAATTCAGATAAAGTTAATCGTCTTCGTAGTGATTGAGACTAAAATTAAATAATAGTAAAGGCTAAAACGTATTGTTTCAAATAAAGAATATGATGCAATTAAAAGTAAATTGTAATGAAGACTCTAATTCAGAGTTTTATTTTTATTCACAAGTTTTGTTTCAGTATCATCTTACAGAATCCTTTTATTTTTTGACTAACCATTTCTTTGACTTACTAAAGTAATCACCTGATCTTTTGTAATATATCGTTTCTTCCCAACAATTGATAATAATAACAGACAACTGATCATTGCAAAAACCAAAAATAATCCACTCTTTGCTTCAATTTCCATGGCAGTAGACATTCCAGATGATTCAGGACAATTATTTGAATCAAATCATCTGACTTTTAATTTATTAAGATCACCTGATTTTCTTAATGATAATATATGAATACCTAATTCTTGTTTATGTGACCATTGTTTAGACATAACGATGCTCATTATACCTTTATCAAAACCTTCGTCAACTGTAGTCAAATTACAATATACATTATTGGTGATATATTCAGCAATACCAATATCCATAAATGATAGAGCCATAGTACCACAAACAATCATATGTTTCTTGTTTATCTTTTAGTGGAATGTAATTTCGACGACCTTCAGAGTTTTCTCTTAAATAAAAAGCTTCACTAGCTCCACGTATACAAATACCAATACGATTAGATGGTATCTTACCACTTTTAATATCATCAAGACCCGAAATAATTCCCTTTGATTTTGAAATTGTTAGATCGAGAGCTAAATTTGCCGTATACGATGCTACTAAGACTAAACTTAAAATATATAAACCAACAGTTATTAAACGTCCTGCAGCTATACTGGCATTAAAACCCGCACCATATCCCACAAGGTTACCAAAACAATACCATATTCTCATTGCAAATAAAGAAATTATTGATCTACCTTTAAATTCTTCATTATCTTCTCTCTCGGCTAGACAAAACAAAATACCAGCACACATAGTAGTACCTAAGGTTAATAACCAGAGTTTAGGTGAGAATGGTTTCAAAAATGATAATAAATCAAAGCTAATATCAACATTTTTACGCATAACAATCACTAAAGAATTATCATAGATTGCATTTAAAGAATCAACTATTTCTCTTCTTGCTGAAGTAACTAAAATCACCTACTAATATGTCATAGGTACCATCGACTACTGCTTGGACAACAGGACTATAGCCTCTAGTTGTTGATGCGAGATGAATATTCGGAATAAATCCTATTCTACTTTGTAAAATATCAATCAGATCAGGAACATAAGAGACTATCAATGAAGGACATTGGCATAGAATAATTAAATATAGAACTTTGTAGTCTTCAAAAAAGATATTGTCACTCTTGAAAATGTTGTCGTTCTCAAACATTTCTAATATTTACAAACATCTAACGAATTCATAAATCTTTTAAAGATTTCATTACTTCATAAAAATTTACATGACATTTTTATTCAGCTGATTTCTTATATATTTATTTCATTTTAGTTAATGCTCTCTTCCTTCTTTATTGGATATGCTTTATGGATAATGGCTAACCAGTTAACGTTTGTTTCTGTTGCCAAAATTGATCAGTTACAGTAGAAACTATGGTATATGGAACTGAATTGAGCACACCGATACTTAAATTTACACCCCGTAGTTTGGCAACACTAGTTGGAGTTGAAAATGTGTCACCTGGCCAGATGATGGCGCTTGCTCCTGTATATCTTTGCCAACCATGATCTTCGGAATAGCCCAATACAGATATGAAATTCATACCATTTGAAATAGTTTGCGAGTTCTGTGTAAAATAATAACTACCATTTATTCGATCTGTTACATTCATATTAAATTGTATAGGACCAGATACACCAAGAAATGTCATACTATTAATTGTATCAAAAAATGCATTAGAATTGAGAAAACGACGATTAAAACAGTATGAAGAGCCAGTCAATGATATACACCATAGAGAACTAGTAATAAATGTTGAACAATATTGGTGTAATGATTGAATCAATGGCCAAGTTGCATCAAATGCAAATAATGCATAAGAATTTACTTTTGTCGATTCAGGAAATGTCTCAGGCTCATACTATTGCCATATATCATAAGCAGCATATAATAATATTTCATTAACCGATTCACCAACAACTTTTGCTATAACAGGTTCAACAGTTAGTATTCCAATTAATTTTGGATAAAAAATTTGATTAAAAGAATTTAATGAAACGTTTGCACTTAATATCCATGTAAACAGTGGACCAAGTACATCCGAATCGATTGCTTTTTGCAAAATTAAATGTGTATAAATCGAAGAAGCTCATAAGATTACAATTCGTACTGAACTATGAGTTAAAACTTTTTTTTCAAATCATCTTGAAAACTACGTGTTGTAATATCAAACATTAGAATATTTCTAACTGCGAGTCCATTATTAACAAATGCTTTATTGATTACTTTTACACCACTAGATCCAAATGCATCATTTCGGTATATAATAATACATGAAGTTCACTTGAATTGAATGAATAATTTTACCATTGCTGTTGCAAATGAATAATCGGAAGGAACTGTATGGTCAAACGCATGATAGGTATTTCGATTAGATAAACCGAAGGCTGTTGTTATATATGATATAACAGGAATACCAACTTTTTGCGCTAAATCAGCAATAAAAGGTGGTTCTCTGGAGAATTCCGAACCAACAATTCCAACAATATTAGAGGCAGATATTGTTTGATATGTTGCACTAAGAGCATCTATAGTATTGCCACCCATTTGTTCTGTCTGCGATTCTAAATATTTCCCTTCAATAGTTATATTATATTGTTGAGAAAGTAAAACTGCTGCTTTGAACATGGCACTAGAATAAACAGACGATTTGGTAGGATCAGATGTGTTAACTTCGTCTTGGAAAAGACCAAGTAATTGTATACTAGAATAGTTTGATGAGGGCCAAGTTCCTCTTATAAAATATACATTAAAGTGCCAGAAAATATGTATTAAAAGGAGCCACCAAAGATGGTTGAATATCATCTTCATTTTTTGATCTAAATATAGAAATAGTGATTTAATTGAATGTACGAGGAAAACGAATCCAGACCAATCATTCCAGGCCCTGAAAATGTGTCATTTAGGAACATATATAATGGCTGGAGGTTAGATGTCGAATCTAGTGTAACATAGTTTTCTAGCATCTTTTCCGAACTTGTCAAAAATAGCACTCATATCGATTAAAAAATTCTAAAATTTAGTTTTCTCTTCATAATATAAAACTCAATTGAATTTTAAATACTTCAGGTTTCATTTGAATGAGATACAATCTTCTATACATAAATACAGAGATTAGTATAACTAATCAAAAGAAAATTACATCTAAACAAGACGCAATAGCAAACGATTGCGATGTCTAAAAACAAGACTTTAAAAATCCTATTCTTTCTTGATACAACTACTTGAGCTAATAACTAATCCAAATGAATAGATTGAAACGAAGAAAACTCATACAAAAACTCTCGCTTTACGCAAAATCTTGATATAAATTGATTCGTAGCCCAAAAAAGCAGATTAAAGAAGAAAGAATAGAAAGTTTCCGATCATAGTAGAGAAGCTACCAGAAAAAGCTCTGTTTATAAAGAACAAAAATGTGTTCAAAAGAATCCACATAACTAATTCTTCATAGAAATATTTCTACAAGTGTGCACGTAGGACAACACCAAAAGCTATAACTTGAAAGTGTCTTTCGGTAATCAGTGCCTCTATCTCGACTTCGGAATTGGAACTTGTTTTGTCTTCCGAGACTTCCAGTAAAGAGGGTCTTTTTCATTTAAAACTATTATAGAAACTATCACTAACAGAAAAAAAAACTTAAATTCTTGGGGCAAACTTAAAGTAATTATTCAGTATAACAAAAATTATATTTTATAAACTTTTGATAAGGAAATATAGAAGAGTTCACTGAAATCAATAACTCGTCATAACAGTTTGTGACTGAGTATAAAGTAGCATTCTCGTCTGGTAATAAAATCGAGACGATTTCTAAAATCATAAATGAAAACCTTTATGTTATGAATAGCGCAAGGTTTATGAGAGAGTAATCTCAGCTCTTCAACCCCCCTAAAACTATTGAAACTCTAACAATCATCGATCATTAGTCAAATACAATAATATAAATCACTACGCACTAAAATATAGCAAAATTTAACTGCTTGCAATGGTCAAAGAGTAGAAAATTTCCTCCTGTAATCTCTTGCATTTTCAAGTCTTGTATGCAATTTCTTTTTTTTCATAAATAAATGAGGACAACAAAAGTATATTCAACAAGAAATAGACACTACAGTAAAAGAAGTTATTCGAGTTCTCTCATCACATGGCTTATAACAATCGAGATAACAAAAGGACGAAAAAAAAATACCTTTATAACTAATTTATTCCATTATCTAATTAACAATATGTTCTATAATGACTTATATTAGCAGAACTAAACAGAATAAAATTAAACAAAACTTTCTTGCTCGAATTCTCTAATGAGATGGTAAAAGCTTATTGAAGTATTTCAATAAAAAAAGAAAATAAAACTTGTTTTTCTTGATTTCTTTCGTAAAATCCAAGAAAACTATAAAATAACTAAATGCAGAGAATTCAATGTAAACGAAACTAAATTATTCGAATTCTTTCAATAAGATGCTCTATATGTATCGAGATAACCAAATGAAGAAAAAAATTAGATAAAACAAGCTAATTGTATTCATTTTTCACAGAAAATGATTGAAAATTACTTCAATATTTAAATAAAGAAAAAAAACTGAATCATCTTATTCAATATCGGTAATAAAAACTGAATAATGAATGACCGGAAAACGAACTAATGAAAAGAAAGTTAAACTAAATTTATCTTATTCTATTTCTCTCATAATAGTCTACACAACTATCAATATAGCTAGGTTGTAAGAAAACCGTGAAATCATGTGTCTTGGTAGTTCGAGTTACAGTGTCTGAATTTCTGTTGTGTAATATGTTAGGTTAAAAAGGAAGGAAGTAGATCTATGAAGCAGCATATCGAAGGATCACCATCCTAAACTTGACTCATATTCAATACTACCGAGCATTCGTTTACCTACTGTAAATTTCAAGACGATTTACTCGAAGAAAAAACATCTTGGATCGAAATAAAATCAATAAATAAAGCTGATAGGTAAAAAGGGTGTGGGGTGGGGTGGGTGTGGGTGTGGGTGTGGGTGTGGGTGTGGGTGTGGGTGTAGGGTGGGGGTGTGGGTGTGGGTATGGGTGGGTGTGGGTGTGGGTGTGGGTGTGGGTGTGGGTGGG